AAAAAAAAAAAAAAAAAAATCACAACATGGGTCATTCCATTCCTGGGCCCTCTCCTAATAATATGCCTGGGATTAATGTTCTTACCCTGCCTAATTCAAAGATTTTGAACTGACATCCTGCAGACGGCATTGCTCCTACAGTCAACCCGAGACCAGAAAACTCTCCGTCCTAATCACCAGGAAGTAGCCAGAAAGAACATGTCGTCCTATTCCTTTTCATAACTACAGGGTCTGGATTGACAGAGCAAGAGCACTGCCATCTTGGACAAGCCCCTCATTCAAATGTTCACCGATTCCCACAAGAGTGGCATAGCAAATAATCCTCCATTAAAAAGTTTTAATATTTGGCTTAAAAGGAGAGGTGAGAATGACAGAAGTATTTGGTGAGGAAGGAGTGAGACTAAGATGAGTAGTTCTCATCTAGTTGCTTATCTTTTTATGAGTTTCAGCTTAAGATTTGCTTTTTTTTACATTAAAAAAAAAAAAATCCAAAGGGTATCAGCCTAATAGCTAAGGTCGGCACGACCACACACCACAAATAACATCTCCAACACAAATATTCCAAACTCCTTCCAGACCAGAGACATGCTAGCCCGCAGATAACCCCTCTCCGGGCCGGAAAGATGTCTGCCCCAAGATAACCTCCCCACCTCCCAGAGAGATTCCAACCCCACACATAAACATTCCAAGCTTGTGATAATCCCCCTTCACCCTAAAACCAATATATACTCTTAGTCTGTAAGAGAAAGGGCTCTTGACCGAAACCGGTCAGGAGCACCTCTCAGGTTTTAAGTAAAGAAAACCTGTCTCTAACTGCCAGCCGCGTTTTGTGTTTCTTTCCTCTTTAACTCTTACAAATAGCTCACATCCAAATCCAGTGGGCAGCACATCCAAGTCCAGGACAACCGGACTTCACTGCTGCATCTGCTCACTATTCCTCTGACCAGCAGCACTCCTGGGGCTCCTTCCCCTCGTTAGCTGCTCATCCTTTCTGTCCTTCAATATCTTCTCTAACACGTTCGGGGATCAAAGCCCCCTGAAATCAGTCCCTGCCCCACAACCCTGCCTCTTTTCATGCACCAGAAACTACACCTTCCCGCTCGACCGGAATGTGTTCAGGTCCCCGTCTCTCAGACAGCCTTTCCCCACTGCCTAGAATGCCCTCCCTCCCACACGACCTCCCCAGCTGCCTCCTCACAAACTGAGTCAGATCCACTCTTCTGAGCTCCGCAAGCCCCCGGTACGTCTTTCTACCCTTTTACATGGAAGGTGAGTCTTTGCCTACACACGTCGGTCACTCTCACCGGGCTGTCAGCGCCTCCAGGGCAGGGCTGCCGGACCGTTCTTCGAGACCCCTCTCCAGGTCTGGCCCAGAAAAGGTACTCAGGTTTGTTGAAGCCCACGAACGAAAAGAGTGATTGTCATGTAAGCAAAACTGCTCTCGCTAAGCCACGGACGAAGAGCAAGGAAGAGCTCACCGGCGCGGCTACTCACCGATGAGGACCGCGTTGTCCAGGTTTCGGAGCTGGGCCAGCAGTTGCCCCCGCGCCTGGAAGATGGGCAGACTCCGGCGCTGCAGCTCCACGGCTTCAGGGTAGGGACTGGCTGAGGGCTGGGCCAGGGGCGGCTGCTGCCTCCGGCCTCCTCCTCCACCTCTGCCGCCGCTGCCCGCCGTCAGCAGCATCACCACTCGCCGCCCGGGAGGGAAGGACCCAGCGCGGCTCGGAGGCCCAGAGCCCGGCCGGAGTCTCTTGGCGGGCGGGAAACCCGCCTCCTCCGGCATGTCGGGAGGGCACCGCGGCGGGAGGAGCAAGCGCCGCGCCGGCAGCTCCGGCCCCCTCCCAGGTGCCAACAGCGGGCGCACACCGCCCTTTCCTTGCCACGTGCTGGAGGCTCCTGGCGACCACCGATGACCTCACGGCCGCCCCAGCCTTTAGAAAAGGGACTGCAACTCCCAGCATGCATTGGGGGCTTGGGATGGCGTTCAGTTCCTGGAGGTGGGAAAAGCAGGGCCTGAGGTGCAACCAGGAAAAGATCCGGAGCCACAACCGCGAAAAACAAGGTGTACGGTTCCGTTGGACTGCAGTCTCGGTTAACGAGGTTTTTCTCTTTGTTTTAGTAGCATTACGTCTTTCCAATAAACACTCGTTTTCCCCTTCTCTGTCGAAATAAGTCACTCTTCAAGGAAAGTACTTAATTCTGTAAAAATCAATGAGAAGCACAAACGTGTAATATCTAATCCTCTAAGCAATTTATAGGGTTATTTAATCCTTTAAACAACCTCTTAATTCTACCACAAATTATGTGGTAGATGCTGGTTGTTAAATTATCCTTAATTTACAGATAAAGAAACCGAGTCTTCTGAGATTAGTCATTCAGATGTCCCCAAATCATCCTGTGTTACAGAAGAGGAAAACAAATTCTATGACATACATGAATTAAACTCAGAAAATGACTACTCTAGCGGATGTGGTCGCCTATACTAATACAAGCAGAGAAAGGAGGGAGTTCAATGAAACTAAGATAAAATTGTACTTTATCTTTCCTTTTCCCCACCCATTCCAGCCAGACTCTCAAGTTCTCTACATGGCTGTCCAAACCCATCATAGACAGTTCAGTGAAAAGATTCAGAACTGCAGCAGAAAAAAAATAGGATATAACTAGTTTCTCCTTCCCCTCCTAAGTTCTTAGATGATTTGCTAATTTACCACGGAGAATGGCAAGTAGCTGTTTGCCCTTACAGGAAATGTTATTTCCAGAGAATACACTGTAAGCTTCAACGCATGCGAAGGACATCTTCTGAAGCTCCTTTCCATGAAACTCGCCCTGTATGTGAACCTGTTAAAAATCTCCCTTCCCATCATTCGTTAGAGAACAAGTATAAAAACAAAAAACTTCCCCTTTCCTCCAGATCAGAGAGAATTTTCCTCTAGTTGCTGACGGCTTGGTGACCAGGCATTGCTGAAAATGTTCATGTTGAGCCAGCAGCAGATGTGTGTTTAAGAATAAACTGACAATTAAAGAAAATAAAACTGACAAACTTTCACTTCCTGTCCTGAAATACTAATTTAGAAAGGCAAGCGAAAACTACGAGATGATAAATGTTAACCATGCCAGGAGCGGTGGCTCCCGCGCGTAATCCCAGCACTTTGGGGAGCCGAGGCGGGCGGATCACGAGGTCAGGAAATCGAGACTATCCTGGCCAACATAGTGAAACCCCATGTCTACTAAAATCACAAAAAAAATTAGCTGGGCGTGGTGGCGCACGCCTATAGTCCCAGCTACTAGGGAGGCTGAGGCAGGAGAAATGCTTGAACCCAGGAGGTGGAGATTGCAGTGAGCCGAAATTGCACCAGTGCACTACAACCTGGGCGGCAGTGCCAGACTCCGTCTCAAAAAAAANTTACACTTTCAGTACCAGTGTAGTGAGGAACCACTGGCAAACTGCTGGAAATGTCTTCTGGATTAGTCAGTGTACCATTTCATAAAGTGCTTCTGGAGTTAAAATCTGCCAGGTTGTCAAAAGTGTCCACACTTTTGCAGCCAAGGATAAAAGAATCCCAATGGGTATCACTGAGTCCTTCCCAGCTGGGTCTCATTATTGGCACTGCTGCTTTAACCTCCAAGGCGCTGGCCCTCACCCCAGGCGAAGCCTCCTGGCCGTTCTTCAGGTAGTGGATTGTAATTTGGATCCTCATCTGGTGTATCAAAAATAGCTTTCCTAAAAGACAGGCAACAGATATAATTTGGTCCCAGAGTCATCTCAGGTCCTAGGTAATACAAGGTCAGTTCAGCTCCCACAGGGGTCCACCAATAGGTAAGTATTACACCTGCCTGACTATTAAACAGTTAACATATTGTAAGAGCATCTATAATTATTAACATTTACATTAGTTTTTATCTTTGCCAGTTTTTACTACAAAAGCAATCCATATCATAATAATTATAGAGAAGGAGGAAATACAGATGAACAAAATATCCTAAATTTCTAGAGGTAATTATTGTCCATGTTTTAGTTATTCTTCAGGAACTTTTACATGACCTAATTTTACAAAAGTTAAATCACACTACATCTGTTTTGTAACCTGACTTTCACATATTTATCATTTCACAATGTCTCCCCATAATCAAGGTATCACCATGTCCATCAACAGATGAACAAAATATGGTAGGTACATACATATATATATATTTTTTTGAGATCGAGTCTCACTCTGTCACCCAGGCTAGAGTGCTGGGTTCAAGTGATTCTCCTGCCTCAGCCTCCCGAGTAGCTGGTATTACGGCTGTGCCATCTGGGCTCAGCTGGGATCACTGCACGCAGTCTAACAGAATGTTATTCAGCCTTAAAAAGGAAGGAAATGGGCTGGGCACAATGACTCACACCTGTAATACCAGCACTTTGGGACACTGAGGCGGGTGGATCTCTTGAAGCCAGGAGTTCGAGATCAACCTGGCCAACATGGCAAAATCCCCATCTCCACCAAAAATAAAATTAGCCTGGCATGGTGGCACATGTCTATAATCCCAGTTACTACTCAGGCGGCTGAGGCAGGAGACTTGCTTAAACCTGGGAGGCACAGGTTACAGTGAGCTGAGATTGCTCCATTGCACTCCAGCCTGGGCAACACAGCAAGACTGTCTCAAAAAAAAAAAAAAAAAAAAAAATTAAAAATAAATGTTAACTTTCAAATTATGGACCTTAAGTAAAGACATCTCAGTCCTTTTCCCCAGTGTGCTTTCCAGAGTAACTTAATGTAGGAGTCCTACATTCCAAATGATTACAATAATTTAGGTAATATAAATAGGTGGACTTATTTCTTGGTGGAGCACATGTCACCTCTGGATGCAGTCACTAATCATTTCTAGGCAATGGCTGTCATGCAGACTGATTATTGCCAGATCTTCTAATTTTCTCAAGAAAAGTCAAAAGTGAAGATTTTCATGTCAATGTTAAATACAAGCTTAAAAAAAAAAAAAGGTAACCGATCTGTAGGTAACTCATCCATAGTCTCTGGCCTAATGACCTGGCGGCTATTCTGTCAACCTCAAAGCCAAGAGGACCAAAGAGTTGAAAAATTAAGTCCTATGTATACATCAAGCCATGTTGCCCACATCTGTTTCTCCTAAAGAAGTCTTTGTGGTTCAGCCTCTTTCATATGCAGATATTAACAAGCTAATAACTATTCAAAGAATATCCTGGTTCTTTCTCCAAAAGATGAAGTGTCAGACACATTTCATTCCCAACTTGTCTAGGATGGTTTGTGGACTTAATTGCTCTGATCATGACCATACCAGCTGGCAGTCACCTCTGCTTTTCTGACCACCAAATCACTGCCCTTGATCATGTTCTGTTTTGCTCCATCCCACTTTCAGAGACAAACACAAGCTTCAGCAATGAGGCCCAAGCTTGCATGCATACACTTTAATCCCTCTATAATTAAAAATACCAGATAATACTTTGCTGATCAATAAACAAAAGTATTTATTCAGCACCCATGTGCCAAGCACTGTGCTAGGCACTGTGGTGGATACAAAAATTAAGACATGGTCCCTGCCCTTAAGGAGCTTACATTCTCATGAGGGAGACAAGACTAATATACATGTACCAGCTAGGAACAATACAAGACAATATATAATCTGGCGTAAGAATATGTCATACAGACTTGAAGCTTTATAGGGATTCAGAGACAGACAATAAAATAGGCCTTAGAGTCAAGATTTTTGGAGGAATCAGGAACAAGGCCAGGCCTTGAAGAACTGAAGATAATTAAGTTGAGGTCCCTGTTAGGTAGAAGTGGGAGTCAAGGAAAAAAAACCAAGGATGCATATGATAGAGGGGCTTACTAAGAAGTCACTGTGGATTTCTGAGAAGTGACTTGATCATACAAGATTCAACAATTTTATTGCAAACTCAAAATATGTTTAAGCAGCCTGGAGACATCCTACAGAACACAGAAAATAATGGCAGGATCATTACTAACAACATAGCTGGAACTCACCTGTCAAAGAAAAACAGCCACAACATAAAACATCGTTAGGATAAATGACAATAATTCCAGGAAGCCCATTACCAAACATGGTAATAGCTCCAATTTGTCCTTATTTTCAGAGGCCCTGGAGACACCTCTGTCTGCTTCTAAAGACTACACAAGAGGTATGAAAGATATGAGGACATACAAGAGTGACACAGAAAAAAACAAGTGGAAGAGAGAAACAAATAGAAATCCATAGTGAAAAAAATGCACCGAAATGTATAAAAATGTATCTCCTAGGGAGATGCAATTTGTACGTCCATTTATTTTTAAATGAACGTATAGTGTATTTCCATAACAACAACAAAAAAAACCTATGCTTAAGTGTGCTTTTCAGTATTACTGGAAGAATCCGGGAATCCCTCATTATGTGTAAGGTTAGTTGGTCATAAAATTCCATCTATCAAATCTCACTTTTATTTTATTTGCATTGTGAAAAGGAAGTGTGTTCTGGAAGAATCAAGATTGAGGGGCAAATTGGGTGGAAAGTAAGGACTTTTCCGTATGTCCATTCAAGCACAGGTATCCTGTCAGGCAACACAGGGCTAGGAATCATGGTAGTAGGGCTGGCCAAACTGATGAGAGGTGATTGAAATTACCACTGCCCAGGACACAGTGTAATCACACAGCATGTCATCCTGCCACTAGGAATTTGCACCCTATAAAATCAGAGAAACCAAAAATCCCATAACTGCCTGCCTTTAGGCTATACATTCAAAATACATTTCCTGTTTTACCCAGTCATTAATGTATACAGATATTCCCTACTTAAATGAAAAGTGAGTGAATAGATTTTAGAATTAGCATTTTACCACAACAATGCCACTACTTGGATAACTCAAAGTTAACTCAGGGAGAACAAATAAAACTAGAGAAACCCATCTCTAGCCCAAAAACAATTTTAAAAAAACAAAAAACTCCAACAAACATCACTGATAAAGCTTT